GAAAAAAATTTACAGAACAGAAATAGGCAAATATGAAACAAGAACAAAGAGGAAAAACTCAATTAGAAAAATATACTCACTGAAACAAGGAAACTCAATAGCTGGAATGATCTATAAATGGGTACCTCTGAAGAAAAAAATTAGTGAATTGTAAGATAATATTGATGCTCTTCCCCTTAGATCTCCGCAAGATTTGCTCCCTCATTTCTTTTGTCTTTACTCCAGGGTCAGTTTCTTAATGAGGCCGTCCTCATCCATCTACATACAATTGTAAACTATTTCCTCTGGCTCTACCCTCTTCCTATCTGCTTTTTTTTCCAAACATACTCATCATTATCCATAAATTATTTTACTGATCAGATTTAATCAAATATGAAACAAAACCAATTTTAGGATGTATATAGTTTATGTACTATTAAGGCAGGAAAAGTACTGCTAATTAAACTAGAACACCAATGACTAGCACACTGTAAAATCTCTGAAACCAGGATGCATCTTAGAATCAATGAAATATGTTATTAGTTTATTATCTGCCACCCCAACTAGAAATTAGGCCAGTGAGGACAGATATTTTTATCCATTTATTCAAGGAGGTCTTGAAATACTGGAACTCATGGTGAGTGCCCAGTAAGTGTGATTTGAATAAATGAATGAATGATTAAACTAATAAAAGCACAAAAGTGCTGAGAAAAATAAATAATATTAAGTTTATACCTCAAAAACAAGAATAAAACTGCAAAACATTAAGGATAAAGAGAAAAACATAAATGTTACAAAAAATGCCAAACTACTCACAAAGGAATGACAACCGGATTGATAGGAGACTCCACACCAGCAAAAACAGATGCCAGAAGACAGTGCAGTAGTGAGAAAATGAGTATCAAATTAGAATTCTGTAATTTGCCAAATCATCTGTTTAAGAATAAGGAAGAAAAAACCTATTTCAAACAGATGAAGGTTAAGAGCATACTAACCGAGAGATCCTGGTTTAAAGAGAAAGTAAAAGTATATACTTAGAAAAAAGAAAGATCCCAGAGCGAAGAGATATAGGCTGCAGGAAACAACAATGAGCACAGAAATTAGTAAACTTTAGTTATTCCAACCAACTCCTACCTGTACAGTAAGTATGTATGTGTATATATTTGGAATTAAAAAAAAAAGCTAAATTGGAAATGGATTTGTGAATTACTGGGATGACTATCAAGTCTACAATAGGTAAACAATTCATTCCAACGAATTTGTAGAATCTTTATATATTTGATTCCATTATTTCAGTTTTAAACATTTCTCTAAGTTTTTCGTTACCCACAAAATACAAGAAACTATCTCTTCCTCCCAAATCTACAATTACCATCCACACTGTCATGAAGAAATACCTGCAAAGTGCTTGGGTCATACTTGCATCTTTTACATTTGGATCCGTAGTAAGGCTCCGGATGAGAACTGTAATCATCTGAAGAGGAATATGCTGTACAAGGCTTGCCAATGCTACAGAAGGTTCAAATGATGCACCTATTTTTTTAATTAAAAAAGAAAACGGAATATTGCAAGAAGGTTCAAGTGAAGTATTTAGAGGGAACAATAATTTACCACAAAAAAAAAATTTAATTGCAGCAAAGGTGTTAATGAGGAAGCAGTTGTTAAATTTCACCTCATGGGGGGACATTATCATACAAGGAATGTTAAGTTACAGAAATGACAGACTAAGAGTAGCAACGATTGATCGTTCTACAGACAGAACTACGGCAATATAAAAACTATTGTTCACTACCACTATATTTAGTCCAAATTATTTCCTTACATTCTTTAAGATTTTGTTGTGTTAAAATACACATCTGTAAAGCAGTAGTCAAAAGAGAAGCACAAGCTATCTTTTAAATTCCAACTTTAGATACTTCAAAGTACCGTAACTATAAATTAGAAGTAGCCATTACATTGCTCTAAGATTTTAAAAATCTCTCAAAGTAGAAGAAATTACGGTGAATTCTGAAGGGGGCTCTGCTTAAAATATTTAAAAATTAAGCAAATCCAAGGTGAGCATCTTTATTGCTATAGTTGAAAACGTTCTGGGGAAATCTAGCAGTTCTGGCAATATAAGAAAAATTACAATAAAAGACACCAATTCAGATACTGCAATTATAGCTGGTAATTCTTTCAGAAAATGTATTTAATTAATCAGAATGCATGGTGACTGTTAAAATTTTCTTATTTCTAGGTCTTAGTATACAAGGAAGACACTTCAAAAGTTTCGAACAACATCAAGGGTGAATGGTAGTGGCTAGTAGAGGAAGTAAGCACGATTTTGGATCTATTGTTTCACAACTAACAGAGCTGGGGGCTCGAGGTCCGAGCAAGGAATGCATATGCACAGGTATCAGGTGAGAAAAGCGTTTTCCTGCCAAGTATCACTTGACACCCTCTGCGTTTTCTAAGGATGCAGTTCTGGGCTACTTCTAGAGTGCAAAAACACCTGTTCAAGTCCTCATATCCTTTGCCTCCCCTTATCACCTTATCCTACCTGCATCCTCTTTCAGAAGCACCAGTGTAGACAGAAAATGTCAAAATTCAAAAACTACATAGTTAACTGGGATAATCCAGTAATAAAACAAACTGAACAGTCCATGAATAAGGGGGGTAAAAACTCATTACAACAAGATGATAGGGTCACAGCACAATAATAAATGGTAAACATTACACTGCCATTAGTCACTAATGAATAGAAACTTTATATAGTAGCTGTCATCCTCAAAGCATTCTATAGCATGAGCAGAGGCTGGATAATTAAGCAATTTTTTTCATCCCAAAGGTCTTAGACCTCGAGGTCCTCCACCTTAAAAATGGGAGCCCTGTTTTTTACGGTACAAAGATACAGCCTGAATAGTGTAGTGGATGGGAATCAAATGTTGGTTGAGGGTATTGATTTGCTCTCCGTTAAGAATGATTTTAGGGCAGTGAAGCAAACGTACTTAATTTCCAAAAGAAATTTTCTTGGAATGTACTGACCCTTACCTGTGGAAGAAATGCTTGCAAATACTTCTTGCAGGGAAGGCAGGAGCGTGGAGGGCTCAGCCTTCCAGATATTCTGTAGCAAGTTACTCACTTTTGTCACCTGAGAGACATATTCCCGCAGCTCCTTCTCCTGGGTGGACAAGCAGTGGAAATGGCTTATTGTTCGAACCAGCTGTTGACAGAAGGTGATCGACAATTTCCCCTTGGGGATACATTGCACGAAATCGGTCAGGAGGTCGCTCAGGCGGGCACACAGCTGCGGCTCCGGCCTCTCACACACCATCCGCAGCACCTCCACCTGCAGCAGGCTGAAGAGGTCCAGCACCGACGGGCAGCTAATGATCAGTTTCAGACCATTATGAATGTAGTCCAGGATGGCTACGTCCTGCCTGTCCAGCGAGTGGTAGCCCTGCTGAAGAAGGCCCAATACGAACGTCTTGTTGAAGAAGGACTCAAACTCTGGTCGGTGGTACCGCGCATAGGCCTCCAGCACTTGGTGCCCCACCTGCCGCTGAAAGGGGTCCTGGCCCTCCAGGATCAGCCGGGTCGTCAGGTCGAACATGGCCTCGCATTGAGCCTGGTCTAGCCAATGCTCCGCCGATTCCACCACCTTCCGCACTATCACCCGCTTTAGGGGCAGCGGGTGCGATGAACTCACCAAGCCCTCCAGGATCTTGTCCATTGTCGCTCCGCTGCAAGGCCACGGCCGGGGGATGAAGAGCAGGCGGCGACGGCCCCGGCGTGAGGCAGGAGAGGCACACGGCGGCGGGGAATTCGGAGCGCAGCAGCAGCGGGACCGACCACCGCCGCCGCCGGCTCAGCAGCCACATTTACTGGGCAGGGGGACCCATCCAAGCCCGGGCAGGAACCGGCAAGCCCGGGGCGAGCAAGAACCGGCTCGGCCCGCGGCGGGCCTAAGCAGCCAGAGGCCCGCACTTCGCCACCGCCTCAGGCCCGCGGTCCCTCGCGGCATCAGAGCGGAAGGGCCAGCAGGCGCCTCTATCCCGGCGGCGGCGACGGGCGCTCAGAGCCCGGGCTGCGAGGCAGCAGGTTCAGGAACGGCGTCTGCTTCCCAGGGCGGGTGTGGGCGTCGGGACTCCAGCAGGGCGTCAGGTGACACAGACCCTGGGCTGACTCAGGAGCCGCTGTCACGGGGGCTGCTGGATCAGTTGCGGAGAAGAGCGGAACACCCTTGACCCGGATTTAGAACTTCCGGTAAACAGGAAGCGAAGACCTAGGCACCTCCCGAAAGCCCGCCCCGCCGCCTCGTCTTCCCTCCCCGCTCCTTTTCCTCCCTCCTCTCCTCCTCCTCCGCCGAAGTCGCGGACTGTCGGCTGCGCTCTGATTTCCCGCCCGCCTCTTCACTCCTGCGTAGGCGCGGCCACCTCCTCCAAGCGAGTCACGCGATGACTCGCGTCATTGGTGAGGGCAGGTAGAGTCACAGGCGGTTTTCCGGAAGGAGCGGCTGCAGCGGAAGCCGTGGATAGCAGTTTCCCCGTTTCCGACCACTGTAGGTTCTGTCCAGGTTATTCGTGAAAGCACGAGAAAGTACTATTTATGTAAAATTTTGTGAATGAGAAAGTTTTGGAAACGAGCGGAAGAGCATTTGGTGAGAAAGTAAGGAAGAGAACCCAGAACTCTGATTGGGGAGAAATGCCTAGGGTCTTGGTTCGTTCACTAAGAAATGAGCAGGGATTCTTAAATGCAGGTGCCTTTTTAAATGCAGTGTTATTGGAGTAAGGGCTGTAGTACAGATGGCGGGACACATCTAGCGACGATCCGTGTCAGAACGTTTGTTTCATCAAAGCCCTGGCAAATAACTAATGAGCATTTGTGGCATATCGAAAATGTATAAGCTGTCCAAAAAATGGTAGGACAGACAGTAAGGATAGTGGCAGGTGAGAAAGAAAGACAGGTATATATGCCTGTGTCGTATTAAAGAGTACTTTGAAAAATAGAAAACCAAGTGGAAATTTCACAGTAGTTAATATACATATATGCTGACATTGAAGATGGTTTATAATAAAAAGTTGCAGCCATCATGTTTGTACTCTCAAGTTTCAAAGACTCACAGTAAGAATTTAGGTTTTAATTAAATTGGTAATTGCCTAAGTTGTACCCCGGTTCAGAGTTGGCTTATACTGTTGTGAAATCAGACATGAGTGGTGAAGGGCCCCCACCCATAAGATGGCGAACTCACCCCTCGCCCCCTCTAATTCCAGCACCTAGCCAATATCCACCAGCCCCGTAGAAGTGACACCTCAATCACCTCATGCCCCTTCCTATATAACCCAGCACCTTCCCCTAATAAAGCGAATTCTCCCGTGAATTGCTGCTGTGTGTCACTCCTTTCAAGTGGCCTGTAATATGACAAAACTTGAATAGTTCGCTAAAAATGTCCAATAGAAAATGAGCAAAATATAAGTTATTTACTTTGCTGAACAGTGTTTTTTGAAAAAACAACTTACACAATGATTACACTAATATATTAACACATCAATTATAATTTTAGGAAGAATGGCAGTTAAAAGGAGATAGGAACTGGGTAGGGGATACCAGACTGAGTGGTTTGTGACAAGAGATTGAAGATAAAAAAGAAATGAGGTAATTGATAAATATAATAAGTAGCATGATAGAACTCTACCTTTTTCAAACAGGTGGAGGGTAAAACTAGTTTGACTTATGTGGTAATGGTGCCCTTTGGAAGACAAAAATGAAGCATTAAGAGAATAAATGATAGGACTGTATTTGAAGTGTGGGAGAGATTTGGAATGAGCCTTTATGGAAGATTTGCTAGGTAGCCAGTTGAGAATGAAGATTGCTGAACAACAGTAGTGAAATGATTACTCCAAAGAAGACAGGGGAAAAATATAATGGTTAGTTAACTTGACAAATTACTTTGGATCATTAATATCCCCCTCACCCTTTCTGTTAATATTATGTCTTGAGAATTTTAATGTAAAGTAAGATGTCTGAGAGAACATAATGCAATTTGTTTTCAGTTTGTGTAATACAGATAACATAGTTTCATACTGTCAGGCTTCCAAAAGCACCGTGACTCAGTATTTTTAAAGTATTTCTTGATTGATAGATGCATGAAAGAAAATATTTAGTAGGCTTTTAGGCCAAACTATTCAAAGCATGTTTCTTCTTTTGTCATCAGAAAAAAAAATGTGTATAATAGGCTCTTCTATGGTTATAAGATTTCAATTGAAAGTGGCCAATTTCAAACAATTTACTTTAAAACATAACAAAGTTATTTAATAATACCATGTTTGTGTTCAACATTTTAAAATATTTTCAGAAGTCTATGGAAAGGTTGTGTTGCAAAGTGCCATGCCACTTGTCATTGGATTAATAGGTGCTGTAACTGCAGGCTTTAAGATTTTGTGTAAAGGCCCCAATTGCTAATTAAATGGTTTTATATTATCTTGGATCTGGGAATGGGAGCTAAGTGATGGGGAATGAAAGAAAAAGCTGAGGATAGGGAAATATCATTTATTAAGTACCCTCTATTTGCCTGGGACTCACTCTATTATACTTAATTCTCAAAACAAACTTTTGAAAGTAGATATTAATAGCTGTGTTTTAAGGTAATGAAGCCATTCAAGGTTAAATAAATAGCTATTACGTAAAAATTTTGTGTGTCTATATGTGTATGTGTTCATGATGAGCAATGAGAAAAGGCATTTCCAAAGGCTGTGGTTAGAGTTGGCCAACTGCAACAGCTCTACTCTGAGGTTAACTTTCTGCTAGTATATTTATATCACCCTAGAGAATCAAAAGCAAACTGTAGATTAGAAAGAGCTGTGATTAATAAACCACCATGTGAAATAATTATAAATAATCCCTTTTATGCAGTTTATGTTAATGTACATTTCTTAAATTGTAAGAATAACTGGAAAGAAATATACCAACCACTTTGGTATGATTGTATTGTATTTTTTTACAACTTATATAATATTCACTAAGCTAATCTCACTACTATATTTTAGATCCTCTAGTGCTTCCCATTTTATTTAGAATACAATTCAAGTGCCTACCCCATTGGCTACAAGGTCCTACATGAAGCAGCTCTTGAGTCTTTTCCTACCACTCTCCTCCTCACTATGTGAGCCACACTGGCTTCTTATGGTTCTTCCTAAAGTCAGATTCCTTCAGGTTCTTGGGCTTTTGTACTACTGACATTTTCTTTTCTGGATCCTGTAAATTAAGTCTCTGCTCAGATGTTGTCATCTCATGTAGCCACTTCTAGATTATCTACTAGTCTATTATATTCCTTTATTTCTTTACAGTACTTAACCATTATGTGAAATTAACTTATTTCTTATTTAATTGCCTACAGTCCTTTTCTGTCCTCTAGAATCTAAGCTCCATTAGGTCAAGAAATTCTAATTTTCTTAGTAACCTCCATATCTAGTTGTTAAAGAAGTACCAGGTACAAAGTAAACAATCTAATTATTGAGTTATTATAAATGGTCAAATATGGTCAAGTGAACTTTAAAAAAGATGTAATGAACTTTTAAAAAAATGTATGTTTAAAAAAGAATAGCTTCTAGAATTAGTAAGTGAATTCAGCAAGGTTTAAGTACATAGATAAGAGAAAATATCAATTATACTTTTACACACTAGCAACAAATGTGGAAACTAAAACAACAAAAAGTATGATACCATTTACAGTCACTAAAAAACACAAAAAACTTGGGTATTAATCTAATAAAACATGTGCAGGACTCATACTGAAATGTACAAAACACTGATGAAAGAAATCAAAGATGACCTAAAGATGAATGTACATATTGTTTTCATAGCTTAGAGGACTCAAATATTGTAAAGATGTTAATTATCCCTAAATTGTTATATAGGTTTAATACAGTTCCTATTAAAGTTCCAGCAAGATTTTTTTAGTAGATACAAACAAATTATAAATTATTCTGGAATTACATGGAAAGGCAAAGAAATCAGAAGAGCAACAACAACTTTGAAAAAGAAGAATGAAATGGGAGGAATCATTCTATCCAAATTTAACTTTTATTATGTACTACAGTAATCAAGCAGTGTGATATATGGCAGAGAGATAGACACATAGATCAATGGAGCAGATTAGAGTATATCCAAAATAGATGCACATAAATATGGTCAAATGAACTCTAAAAAAGGTGCAAAAGCCATTCAGTGGGAAAAGGTAGCCTTTTAAAAAATGGAGCTGGAGCATTGGAAATCCATAGGCAAAAATCAAGCCTTGACCTAAACCTCACACTTTATCAAAAAAAATTAAGTGAATCATAGATGTAAATGTAAAACATAAAACCATGACACTTTTAGGAGACAACACAGGAAAAAATTTGCAAGAGCTAGCTAGGGCTTGGTAAAAGTGCTTAGACATTACATCAAAAGCAAATCAATAAATAGGACTTCATCCAATTAAAAACAACTCCTTAGTGAAAGGCCCTGTTAAGAGAATGAAAAGACAAGCTAAGACTGGGAGATAGTATTTGTGAACCAGATATTTGACAAAAGACTTGTACCTAGAATAAAGAACTCTTAAAATTCAGCAGTGAATACATTAGAGGACCCTATCAAGAGAGTGAAAATACCATACGTAAGAAAGTATTTGCCAAGCCTATGTCTGGTATGTGATTAATATCTGGAATATATAAAGGACTACAACTCAACAACAAAACAACCCAATTCAGAAGTGGGCAAGGGCTTGAGTAGGTGTTTCTCTAAAGAAGATACACAGGTACACAAAAGGCCAATAAGCACATAAAAAGATGCTTCATATCACTAGTCATTGGGGAGATAAAAATCAAAACAATGATGATACCACTTCAGACCCATTAGCATGGCTATTTAAGAAAAAACTGTTAGGATGTGGAGAAATTGTGCATTGCTGATGGGAATGTAAAATGGTAAAGCTGCTGTGGGAAATTTGGTGGGTTCTTCAAAAAGTTAAACAGAATTATGATCTGATCCAGCAATTCCAGTTCTAGGTATATACCCAAAAGAATGAAAGGATACTTGTACACCAATGTTCATAGCAGCATTATTCACAGTATCTAAAAGATGGAAACAACCCAAATGTTCATCAACAGATGAGTTGATAAAACATGGTGTGTGTATTTGTATATATACACACACAAAAGAATATTATTCAGCCTTAAAAAGGAATGAAGTACATGCTACATGGATGACTTTGAACACGTGAGATAAGTGAATACTTCTATGTGGAAACACCACAATGATTCCATTGAACTGGGAGTTAAAATATTCCAGTAGGCCACTTT